GCCCCCAGGCCCAGCAGGGCTGGAGGGGGAGGGGCCGCTGCAGACCAGGCTGCTGCAGGAACAGCAGGGAAGGAAAAACAGAGTGCCCCAGGTTGAACAGCACAAGGTTCTTATACATTTTGGGCTGTTAATTATGCAGTCATGATTTAGCAGGCTTCTATTGGTGGATTTGAAGCAAGCAACTTTCAAAAAGTACAAATCGATGAGCTATAGGGCGGTGAATCTTATCAATCACCAGGTACCTCCTTCCTGAGGAGTGGTCTGCCTGCATGACCTGCCAGGTATCTGCCAGGTGTCATGGGTGTCACTAGGCTGTCAGGCCTGGGGTTCACATAGCCCCCAGCCAAGCAATTAAGGCAGAATCACAAAACCAGAAAACATCTAGGTTCTTCAACAGAGACACAGATCTTCTATCTGCTAGTTCACTCCCAAATGGTTGCAAGGCCAGAGCTAAGCTGATCCAAAGCCAGGGCATTCCTTGGGGTTTCCCATGTGGGGCCCAAGGACTTGACCCATCCTCTACTGCTTTCCTAGAGCACTGGTAGGGAGCTGGATGGAAAGTGGAGCAGCTGAGACTAGAACTGGTGTCCATATTGGATACTAATGCTGTAAAATGGAAGATTAGCCTGTTGAGCTACCATGCTAGGCCCACTTCTTCCTCCTCCTCTTTTTTCTGAGAGGGACCTTGACTTGCAGGAAAATAAGAGCAATGATCTTATGAAGTGTTGGAGATGAGGGAAGCAACATCCATTTAACTTCCAAAAAGTAGAGACTTTCTGCATCTGCTGTTCTTGGGGAAGTTTCAAGGGATCCTTTGTCCTTTGACCAGCCCACCTAGTCCCCCAGTGCTGCCCGTCTCTCTCCCGTTGTCTTTTGTGTCTCTGCTTCCTACTCCTGCTTGGCCCTCTTACAGCCTGCTTGTCTGGTCTTTCCTGTGTTCTCATTGATCCTAACACTGATAATGGGTAATGGTTATTAAAGACTCCTGTGTACCAGGCCATGTGCTGACTGGCTTTTCAGGTATGGACCATTTCAGTTATCCCAAGTATTCTTTCAATTTTATTTTAATATTTATTTCAAATGTGAGAGGGTTTCAGATCCATGTGGGCCTCAATGGATGGAGGGGGTTGGGATTGGGAGAGACGGTGGGTGAGATAAATGTTTGTTTCCTCTCCTGTTTCTCAACTATTCTATGAGGTGACCACAATTTCTGTTTCATAGGTTAAAAAACAATTGAGGCGGGCCAGGCTCAGTAGCTCAGTAGCTAAAGTCCTTGCCTTGCATGCACCAGGATCCATAGGGTTCTAATCCCGTTGGCCCAGCTTCTCATCCAACTCACTGCTTGTGGCTTGGGAAAACAGTTGAGGACAGCCCAAAGCTTTGGGACCCTGCACCCACATGGGAGACCTGGAAGAGGCTCTGGGCTCTTGGCTTTGGATCGGCTCAGCACCAGCCGTTGTGAACATTTGGGGAGTGAATCATCAGATGGAGATCTTCCTCTCTGTCTCTCTTCCTCTATATGTTTCTGACTTTTCAATAAAAATAAATAAATTTTATCCCCCACCAAAAAAAAAGACACAATGGAGGCACATAGATTGTATAACTAAGAGGTGGTGCAATCAGACAGCTAGGTGATGGTCTGAAATGTTTGAAAGTTGACTATCTGGAACCCAGCATTGTGGCATAGTGGATAAAGCCACACCTGTGATGCCAGCATCACATTTGGGCACCAGTTCAACACTTGGCTGCCTCACTTCCAATATAGCTCCCTGCTAACAGGCCTAGAAATCAGTGGAGGATAGCGCAAGTACTTAAGCCTCTGCTCCTGTGTGAGAGACCCAGAAGAAATTCTTGGCTTCTGCCTGGCCCAGCTCTAGTCATTGTAATCATTTAAGGATGAACCAGCTTTTGGAAGATCTGTCTTTCACTCTCTCTATATATCTCTGACCTTCAAAATAGCTAAATGTTAAAAAATAATAAAATTGTAAAGTTGCCAATCTGATTAGGAAAAACATAAATCATTTCTTCATTCCAGAAGTAATGCACTAGGCCAGAGAAGGCAGTGATTAGCAGAATTGAGCAGTATAGATGAATCAGTGGAACTTAGTAGCAATAGCATACCAGGCAGGGGAGACCCTGAGTATCCTCAGGGCAGCAGAGTTGTGTAACTGGCATGGCTACCAACAGACTAGCTTTGAACTATTGCAATAGGTTCCTTCAGAAAGCTTGCAAAAAATCCTGTCGGTTCCTGACTACGTGCTTCAGCTGCTCAAGTCGTCCGAGGCACAGGGCCTTAGAGTGTGATGTGCGTAACATCAAAGGCGCTTCTGCTGCACAGCTAGGCCAGGAACCATTGGCTAACGAAGGAAGAGGCGTCGGGCCTGGTGTAGCAGACTAGTGGCTAAAGTCCTTGCATTGTACGTGTCGGGATCCCATATGGGCACCGGTTCTAATCCTGGCGGCCTGCTTCCCATCCAACCCTCTGCCTGTGGCCTGGGAAAGCAGTCGAGGATGAACCAAAGCCTTAGGACCCTGCACCCGTGTGGGAGACCCAAAAGAGGCTCCAGGCTTCGGATCAGCGTAGTTCCGGCTGTTGTCCCTTGGGGAGTGAATCATCGGACAGAAGATCTTTTTCTCTGTCTCTCCTCCCTCATTCTGTATATTTGACTTTGCAAGAAAAATATTTAGAAAAAAATGAAGAAGAAGAAGGAGGAAGAAGTGTGGGGGTAAACAGAACAGAGTATGTGTTTTCTGAAAAGTGGTCAGAGATAAGATTTGACGTTTTGGGGCCGAGTCAGAGGAGGAAAGGCCAGGCTGATGGCTCCAAGCTGAAGCAGTAGGCAGTGGAGAGTGCGTCACTGGATTGGCTGATCTTCAGAGATGTGTTTGAAACAGATTCTTCTGGCTCTGATCCGCAGGAATTAAAGGCTGCGACAGGAAACAAGCCAGGAGACATTGGTGGGGAACGAGGAGTCATGCTATCACCATGGGTGTCTTGAAAAGGGATTTTTTTTTCAGCATTGCTGTGTCTATTAATACAAACTTGCAATCTGAAGTTGGACTCATAATCTTACTTAAAATTATATTAAAAATAAGGGATTCACTCTCCAAATTGAATAATGTAAGAATTAGCCTTGGAGTTAGACTTCATTAAGTAATCTAAATTTACCTAACCATAAATCTTTTTTGAATCTGTGTCTTCTGTTTTTACCTTCCCCATGACTAATACTTTAGGAGTACTGTCTCACTGTGCAATATTGTCTGAGATTATGATACAGCCAAAGGTTAAGAGCACAGATTCTGAAATGAGACTACGTTTTTTTTAAGCTGCACCTTTGCTACATATAAGCTATATGATGTTGCTTTCCAACGGCCAAGGCAGCGGGCCAAGGCAGCGGGCGGTGATGGACAAGTGGTCCCCTGCTCTCCAGCCGCGCCGACCCGGCCAGGAGCGTTCGCTGCGCCCCCGGGACGCTGTGGGAGTCCGGTGCCCAAGCGGAAGCCGGCCGCGCTCCTAGGCATCCCCCTCGGGTGAAGACCTGACCTGTGTACCCCGCGACTGCAGGAGGGCAGGTGGCCCGGTGGAGGAGTGCGCGGGCCCCTGGTTCCCCAGCCTAAGGAGACCCCAGGGGGCAGCCAGCTCCCAGCCACAGCTGCATGAAAGACCAGCCCACAGTGGGGCTATGGTGGACACGGCTTGTCACCAAGGCGTGGCAGAAATGGAATAAATAAACAATAGTGGATTGTGGAAAAAAAAATAAGCTATATGATGTTGGCATTATATTTCCCAATTTCCTCATGGCCAAAGTAAAGCCATGATAGCACCTACCATAAAGTAATATTGTCAAAAGAGCTAAAAGAAGTGGTGGGCATTTGCTGAACAGTGTAGACGGCCATGGCCCACGTCTGAGTGCCTGTGCCTGTACCCTAGCTGTGCCCCTGCCTCCAGCCTCCTGCTGGCACACAGGCTGGGAGGCAGCAGTGTTGGCTCCAGCAGTTGTGTTCCTGCCTCCATCTGAAAGACCTGAACCGAGTTCCCAGCTCCAGGTACTTGAGCATCATTGCTGCCTCCCAGAGTGCCCACTAGTGGGAAGCTGGATTGGAAGTGGAGCTGGAACTTGGTCCTAAGCACTGCCCTGTGGACTGTGGCTATCCCTAGCAGCTGCTTAACGCACTGTGCCATAATACCCACCCCAAATTCCTGCATATTTTAAAAGAATTTGGAAAGTGTAGCAGATGATGGAAGATCTCCTTCTCTACCTCTGTCTCTGTCATTCTACCTTAAAAAAAATTATTTATTTTACTTCTGAGAGAGAGCTTCCCTCCACTGGTTCACTCCCTATGTGTCTGCAACAACCAGAGTTGGGCTGGTCTAAAGCTGGGAGCCATGAGCTTCCCACATGGTTGCAGGGTCCCTAAGCTTTGGGCCATCCCCTGCTGCTTTTCCAGGCCACAAGCAGGGAGCTGCATCAGAACTAGAGCTGCTGGGACTGAAACGGGCCCATAAAAGAAGCTAGTGTTGCATATGAAGGACTAGCTTACTGTGCCACCATGCCGGCCCTATTCTGCCTTTTAAACATTTTTTTATATATATAAAAGCAGTAATTTGTACGGTATGCAAGCTAGATGTTGCCTTTTCCTTGGGTAGCTGACATTTGTTGAGTGTTTATGGTATATATAAGTCTTTATTTTGTATCAGATTCTCAGAGGATTCTGTTACCTCAGAAATATTAAGAACTACTACATTAGTGAAAATCTTCATTTATTAGAATTTGGTTTATGATTATTGAACAACAGTGACTATGTACGTGTCCTCAGTGGAGGAAAGGAAATTAAAGATGCTTTACTTCAAAATTGTACTTCTAAATTATTAATACAATTTTTCTTATGAATGCAGTTTTTGAGACTGGCACTTTAAGCGTGAGAGCCGGTTTTTGCATTTAGCTGTGTTCTATCCTGTTTCAGTCTGTGTTACCACTAGGCTTTGTGTTTGTCCTTAGTGCCAGGACCCGCTGGTGAGGATGGCGTCAGTGTCACGGTGATCCTGATGGCCTGGGTGCTAATTGCAGTCATCCTGTTCTTACTGCGACCTCCTAATCTGAGAGGATCCAACTTACTTGGAAAGCCAACCAGTCCTCACCATGTAAGTGTTGTGCATTACAAATCCTTCCTGAGGGGCGGGCATGTTTGTGTTTGGGGAAGGGCAAGTTTGAGATGAAATACTGTTAACAAAAGGATTGCCTAGCTTGTGGAGTAAGTTCTTCCTATGGAACCCTAGTACATCTTGTTTCCCTAGATGGATTTATTTTTTGTGGAGTTGAGCATAGAAAGTAACATAAACCAGTGGCTCAAAAATAATTTTGAAGTGAATTCCAATCCTAACTCACATGAGAAATACCCAAAATGATCCAGCTAATAACCCACACAACGTGGCTCACCACTTCCCCTGCATTGCCTGGCTCTAGCCAGCTTGCAGTGGATGCCTTGCCTTGTGTTTCCAGCCCCTTACACCTTCCTAGCCCCAGGTCCAGCATTTCAGCCACTGCCATCCTAGCTAGTAAATACAGTAGAGACCCAGAGCCTGTATGTCTAAATTCTCTCCTGTTTCCCGTGTGATTTCTCTCAATCACACTTTCCAGTTTTGTATCACCATATGTCGTCTGAGCTGGTAAAAGGAGTAATAGCAATCCCTCGGCTGATACATCTTGACAGTCATGATTACAATTACTGTTAGAACCTTCTAAATGCAAAGTATGATAGGTGTCCCAACAGGGAGTTTTCTGTACTATTGTTACTGGAACAGAGGTTCTATTGACTTCTTTTTTTTCTTTCTATTTGATTTGATTTGGAAATTTTAAAAATGTCCATGCATATGTTAATCACTTGAATGAAGCCATTCTACAATGTATACACATTTCAAAATAGCATGTTGTACATTGTAAATATGTGTAATCTTTACTCATCCATCTAAACAAATAAATGTTAAAAAATAAGAACACGTAAGAGAGCAAATGTTGTAGCATTTAGGATGCCACTTGGAGGATGCTGTTGTTTACCAATAGGTTAAACCTCCTCTTAAGATGCCAGCATCCTATGTTGATGTTCCAGTTAGAGTCAGATTCCTAGCTGCTCTACTTCCAATCGAGCTCTCTACTAGTGTATCTGGGAAGCCAGTAGAAGATGACCTGGTGTTTGGAAATTTGCTACCCCTCTGGGAGGCCAGGATGGAGTTCCTGGCTCCTGCCTTTGTCCCAGCCCTGTCCTAACCATTGTGGCCATTTGGGAAGTAAACCAATAGATGGAAGATCAGTTTCTCATTCTCCTGCTTCATCCCCCTCCCTCTGCCTTTCAAGAAGAAACGTTTTTTAAATGCCACTTGGGATGCCTGTATCCCCTATCTGAGAACCTGGTTAAATCCCTGGCTCTGCTTCCAATTCTGCCTTGCTGCTAGTGCACACTCTGGGAGTCAGAGCAAGCTGTTGGGTTCCTGCTACGGCTTGGGAGACCCACACTGAGTTCCCGGCTTCAAGTCTTGTTCCGGTCCTACTGTTGAGGCATCTGTGGACTAAACGAATGACTAATGGATAGGAGCTCATTCTTCTCTCCCTTCCCCTCTCCCACTCTCTCTCCTTTACTTCTCTTCTCTCCTCCTCTCCCCACTCTTCTCTCCATTCCTCCTGTCTCACTCAGATGAGCTAGGTAACTGCATCCCTTACCAGGTACCTGAGTGCAGTAACTGCCTCCTGCTCCTGACCCAGCTTCCTGCTCATGTGTTACTACGGAAGGCAGCAGTGATGGCTCAGGTCATTGGGTTACTGCCACCCACACACAATGACCTACATTGAATTCCCTGCTTTTGGCTTCTGCCTAGGCTGGCCCTGGGCAGGCAGGCACTTAGGGAGTGCACAGCATAAAATCATTGGTTTAGTCTTGAGCAAATTGGCGTGTTTGTCATTTTTAATATTCCTTTCCATGTATGTGAATTATGTCTTATTTTGGTCATTTTTAAAGTCTCCAAGAAAAGTTTAGGGTTTTTTTGATTAAAAAACAATAACAACAGGCAGTTCCACAGAACTTTCAGAGATCCGGTTAGCTTTTGCTCTCAGCTTTCTAGCAGGGTGGGCCAGAAGCCAGTGGAGCCGCCCTGTGCCTCATGGCTGACATTCTGTGGTAACAAACCAAAGTCCTTGGCTTCACTGTGAATGAATCGGCTGCACTCAAGCCAATAGCACGCAGGATGGAACTACCTTTCTCGCTTTGTCAGTCAGCCCTGTGGCTGACAGAGTCCTGTCACCATTGGGCCAGTCCCTGTCTTCCAAACCACAGGGAAGAATGAGGGGTGAGAGGGTGCAAAGTCCAAACAAGCAGAGTGTCCGAGATGGGAGACTGGGAAGCTCATATATGTTAGATCAGTTGTGCTGGGATTTAAGAATTCTGCTAAATCACTTACTTATTTTTAATACCAGGGACAAGATCCACCAGCTCCTCCTGTGGATTAACTTTGTGATACGGGAAGTGAAAATAGCTAACACCTTGCACGACCAGATGAACCAAGATGACCAGAGTACTCTTAACCCCATTAGAACTGTTTTTCCTTTTGCATCAGCAATATGGGATGGTATTGTTTTCATCAGCTTCTGAAATTTCACCTGCAAACTTATTTTTGCTTCCTGTATTATCACCAATCCTATCGACAGTATATTTGAGTAAATGATTATATTAAAGAGATACATGGGGCTTTTTGGTTGTCCTAAACTTAAAGCATTCCATTCGTTCTGTTGGTAACTGTGATAATAATTTATGATTTATGGCCTGATTGAAGGAAATTTGAGGTATCTGCATTTAAATATTTTAAATGATTTTGATAGGTTTTTAATTTTTCATAGGTATTTATAAAGTTATTTGGCGTTATCCGGGGCTGTATGAAAAGGAATTAGAACCACACTGTATTTCCATTTAACTTACTGGTTTATTTGTGGGTGATTGGTTTCTCCAGTATTTGGGATTGTAGTAGCTCTTGAAATATTCTACAAATTACAGCTAAAATCTATATCACCCATTAGAACTCGCATATGTGGCTATAGTATGAGAAGGAAAGAAGTCAAATGGTTGTTTATTGGTTTTCTCCCCCATTAAATAAGTGTCTAATGTTAAGAAAACTTTAAATAAACATGATTGATCAATATGGTGGGTGACTTACAGTCCATTGTGTGACTTTCGGAAGCCACAGTACACTAGCCTTACAGGAGTCACAAAAGGAGAAAAAATGTCATTCTTTCTACCTTTGCTGGCTATAATAATTTATGGTATAATTTATTTTTAAAATGAGTGCCTCTCAGGAAGCTGCTTTTTGTCCTAACACATGTTAAATGAAATGACCTTCAATTTGTATTGGGGACTGGTAGGTTATTAACATTTGAATGTCTCTTTTGTTTCCAGAAGAAAATTTTTGTGCCCTGTTATCCCTCCAATTTAGAAACATTTTTAATGAAATATTACTTTATTCCAAGGAAAAACATGGACAATGAGGATCAATCAAGGGTCTTTTTTTCCCCCCTCTTATCTCATTCCTGTTTGATGATGGTATGGCCTGGGGTAGAAAGGAGCATTAATGGAAGTGAAATTTTGCAGTGTGTGTGAGAAGTAAAAGGTTGCATTGTCTTGCTCATTTTGACAGAAAAGCAAACACAAGTGGCATTTCAAAATACCTGTGTGACCCATGTTGCTATGAAACTCTTTCCCTTGCACTTGATTTCAGATGACTTACAGGGGCTGGAAGACACATTAATATTAATGTAAGGATTCCTCACGTGTACGCCCCCTAACCTCAGTTTAGCTTCAAGAAAGTATCTGGGTGACTTGAGCAAACCTCTCTCCATCGCTGTAGTATGTAATACTCTGAAACAATCATGTGACTTTCCCCCTCATTGTTAGTACACTCTGGCCATTTCATTATGTGATCCAACACTGACCACGTGCATCCTCCTTGTGATCTTGGCTTTGTGCTCTACTTGTGGAGATAATATAAGCAACTCTGAGTTGTGCTAATAGAGTGGTGACCTGATACAGGTAAGTTAAATTCTAGACAGATGAATACCACAATTTTTTTCCCCTTGCTGGGGCCTGCTAGAAGTCTTCCCAGTTCTTTTGCTGGTGAAGTAGTTAAAACAGAAAGGGCTGGAATAGTTAAGTCAAAGGTTGGGGCAAAATCCCCCTAGCCTTGGTTTTTCTGCCCTTTGCCCCTTGGGTTTTAAAGGCTTGCACAAGTGTCCTAACTGTCTGTTCTTGAACGTATTAGAAAAGCAATTCCTGGCAGAGAAGTCACTGAATCTGACTGCTAAACAATGGAGAATTAGACAAAACATGGATACAGAGTATCTAGTATTAGAGACCTAAAAATGTAGATTTTTATTCATAGTTCTTCATTTCTATCACATGCATTTAATTGACATTACATCTAAATATAATAGACTTTTCCAATATGAACCATCGATTTAGATAGTAATAAAATGTTTAGTCTTGCTGTTTTTGCTAATGAAGTTTCTCTGCATTCTTGAAAAGGACAGTGTGCTGCACCTAAAGAACTCTCGTGAACCTAACTAGTCATTTATATCCGTAATGCCTACAGCTTCTACATGTGGCCTTTTCATTGAGCACATTCTTAAATAATTACATGGCTTATAAACATTCATCTGAACTATGGCTATACTTTTCAAATATATATAGTAATAAGATAAACCCGACATTTTTATCACGTTTTGCTCTTTTAACAATTCACAAATGCCAATAGGGTTTATTTTATATTCATTTATTATCCTTTTGTGTAAGATAATGGTCTTTTGTTTCCTTCCATATGGAAGAGGTGAACATTGGAACTGTGTATAGTGAAAGATTGTATGTATCCATCCAAGCACTATCAGACTGTCAGCAAGTCACATTGTGTTACTTGTAGCCATTTTCCAGAGCAACTGTTGGCATGGCTATTCCGTAGCTACTTTTGGTATCATTGTGAGATGACAGTGTCTTTGGATTACTGATAGCCTACATTTGTAAAGGAATCTTAAAAATCTGTCACTCGACGTGCTTAAATTTGACCAGATAAGTTTAAGACACAGAGCAGCAGTTTAAAGAAAGGAAAATGAAGACAGTTTACAATTAATGGGTTAAATTGTGTTGGCAATAAGAGGGTTTTGGTCTTTTTATAATATTTCTAAATGAAAAATTATGTTTTTGTTATGTCTGATGATTCCTTTGTCAAAAGCAAAAGTGGTCATGTGATAGACTGAAATGTTAATTGCTGTTTTTAGATGTCGAAAATCCTGTCTGTGCCATTCGAGGTTTATTGTTAAGCTTTTAATGAGCGCTTGGATTGGGGTAAAGGGCTTGTACTATGCACTTTTTATTAATTAATAAATAGAAGATGTTAGTAACACTTGCTGTTTTCTGTTTGGCTTTTGTGGGAAGAAGAAAGTACCTTTTACTTACTAAATAATTTTACCATCCTGTATTCTTTGTGAAATATCACTCACAAAAACTAATAATATTTATAAGAAGATGCTGAATTGTAAGGAAAATGTTTATATGACAGACTGGTATTCGGAAGAAGAGACTCTGAGAATCTCTAGAATATTAGATAGATTGAAATTATGTTTCTTCTTTTTTTTCCTTCTCTTCCTCTTCTTCTGCCTCTTTTTCTTGGTGTTTATTTTACTGTATTTCATAGAGCAACACAAAGAGAGCTCTTCTATCTGCTGATTCACTCCCTAAATGCTCACAACAGCCAGGGCTGGGCCAGGCTGAAGCCTGGAGCTTAAAACTCAATCCAGGTCTTGAGGTGGGACACAGGGACCAAAGTACTGGAGCACATATTAGCAGGAAGCTGGAACTCAGCCCAGGCATTTTGCCAGACCCCTCCCAGAGCGTTTACTGCTTTATAATCTTACTAACCTTCCACACTGTCTTGATGTTTGATGGTTTTGAATTGCTCTGTTTCTGTTAGTTTTCAAGAACTGAGCAGCATTGAAGAGCAAATACCACTCAGCAGGAACCTGCCATGCAGTCAGTGTCAGAGGGAGCAGAGCTTTATACAGGAAAGTCATCCTAGACCCTGCATAGAGCACAGATTTCACTGACAGAAAGTTAGTATGTAAACATTAAGCTTTGGTAGGGTAGTCCGCATGTCTCAGAGGTGCTTGCTTGGGCCTGGTGCAGTGGTTCAATTGGCTAATCCCCTACAAGCGCCAAGATCACAGTGGGAGCTGGTTCATGTCCTGGCTGCTCCAGTTCCCAGCAAGCTCACTTACGGCCTGTGAGGCAGATTCTGGACCTGTATGGGAGACCTGGAAGAAGCTCCTGGCTTCAGCTCAGCTCAGCTCAGCTCTGGTCATTGAGGCTGCTTGGGGATTGAACCATTGGATCTTTGTCTCTGTAAATCTGCCTTTCCAATAAAAAATTAAAAAAAAAATTTTTAAATAAAGGTGATTCCTTAAAAATAGTCTAGCCAGGATAATTTGTAAGATACAGGACTGGGCCCAGCGCAGTGGCCTAGCGGCTAAAATCCTCACCTTGAACGTGCCGGGATCCCATATGGATGCCGGTTCTAATCCCGGCAGCCCCACTTCCTATCCAACTCCCTGCTTGTGGCCTGGGAAAGCAGTCGAGGACAGTCCAAAGCATTGACCCTGCACTCGCAAGTGAGACCTGGATGAAGTTCCTGGCTCCTGGCTTCAGATTGGCTCAGCTCCAGTAGTTGTGGCTGCTTGGGGAGTGAACTGTCGGACGGAAGACCTTCTTCTCTGTCTCTCGTCCTCTCTGTATATCTGCCTTTCCAACAAAAACAAAAACGTTAAATCTTAAAAAAAAAAATAGATACAGGACTGATACAGATCTGTTACCAGAACCTGTATCCCTATACAAATGGGTTAAGATTTATGTCCTTGGGCGTAGTGTGGTAGCCTAGAGGCTAGAGTCCTCACTCGGTATATCCCAGGATCCCATATGGGTGCTGGTTCTAATTCTGGGAACCCTTCTTCCTTTCCAGCTCCCTGCTTGTGGCCTGGTAAAGCATTCAAGGACAGCCCAAAGCCTTGAAACTCTGAACCCATGTAGGAGACCCGGAAGAGGCTCTGGGCTTCTGGCTTTTGATCAGCACAGTTGCGGCCACTTGGGGAATAAATCAGACAAAAGATTTTCCTCTCTGTTTTTCCTCCTCTCTGTATATCTGACTTTATATATATACATACACACACACACACATATGTTTTTACAGAATGTGTTGTTTTCCCTCACAGCTCTGTTTTATTCTGTTGTCTCACATCACATCTCTGTCAGCAGCCCCCCTTCTTCCCAGTTCCGCTAGCAGTTGCCTGTTGGAAGCTAGTGGTCCCAAACTTTGAGCATGGTTCTGTCAGTGAAAGCTAAATCAGAAATATCAAGCTTAAGGAAATCCTGGGCTAAATCGAGTAATATTAAACACCATAGTGTGGATGTGGTAGTGCTATAAATTAAGCCCCTTTGGATGCCCACATCCATATCCAGAGCTCATTTAAGGCCTGGCTGCTGCTTCTCGCCAAACTTCTTGGGAATGTGTTTCTGGAAGGCAACAAATGCAGGCTCAACTACTTGGGTCTTTGCCATCTATGTGGGAGACCTGTAAGTGGTTCTATGCTCCTGTATTTGACCTGCCAACCTTTTCACTATTAGGGCATTAAAGAAGTGAATCAGCATATGGAAGATACTGTCATTCATTCATTCATTCATTCATTCATATTCATATTCTCTCTCTCCCCCCCCTTACCTTTCAAATATGTTGAAGTAAGTAAATAAATGACTTTTTTTTTTTTTAATTGGAAAGACAGATTTACAGAGAGAAGAGTCAGAGCTGAGCCAGTCTGAAGCCAGAAGCCAGGGGCAGCTTCTAGGTGTCCCACACGGGGGCAGGGTCCCAAGGCCTTGGGCTGTCCTCGACTGCTTTCCCAGACCACAAACAGGGAGCTGGATGGGAAGTGGAGCAGCTGGGATATGAAATAGGGCCCATGTGGGATCCTGGCACATGGAAGGTGAGGATTCAGCTACTGAGCCATCGCACCAAGCCTATGAATCAACATTTTTTACAAATCCACAATTTTTCCATTAGAGAATGGATAAGAGTCAAGATTTTTTTCCCCTCTACAACATTCAAAGAATGTTTTCTTATATCACAATATCAAGAAAGCATAGTAACACAAATAGGTGTCCACTGGCAGCAATTATAGTTCAATTCCTTGTGCCCTCTTGTATTAATGGTTGGTAATTTGTAATCTCTGACTTTAAGCATTAAGGATATTCAAGGAGGTTTCTGGTTGAAGACAGCTGGCTGGTGATGCTGTGCTGTAATTTTCCTGACACATGCCCTGGCGTAATGACTCATAGTCCCTGTCACAAACACTTCATCCAATCTCAAGCTTCTTTTCACTTCAGCAATCTTATCATATGGATTAAAAATAGTATTGTCTGTAGTGTTTAGTCTCAAGGAGAGAAAGTTCTATATATAGCTGGCTTTGTGTAATCTAGGCTTCCTTTTTAAGGCTAACAATCCATTCAGGATTTTAGACTTTCTAATGACTGAAAAATATGTATTTGTTTGAGAGGCACAGAGACAGGGAGAGACAAAAATCTCTCATCCAGTGAGCTTACTCCTCAAATTCCCAGACTGAACCGAGGAACCCAGAATTCCAACAGGGTCTGCCATGTGGATGTCACAGGGGCCTGAGTGCCTTAGCCATCGTCAGCTGCCCACAGCATGTGATTAGCAGGAAGCTGTAGAGTAGCTGGGACCCAAATCAGGACTCTGATTTCAAATGGGAGCATCCCAAGAAGAGGTTTAATGTGCTACACCACATTAGCCTTCCATGCAAAGAGCATTAACTGTTTTTTGAATATTTATTTATTTTTATTGGAAAGAGAAAGAAAGATCTTCCTTGTGCTGGTTCACTTCCAGTATGGTCACAACAGCTGGAGCTGAGCTGATTCGAAGCCAGGTGCTTCTTCTGGGTCTCTCACATGGGTGTATGGACCCGAGGCTTTGAGCCATCCTCTGCTGCTTTCTCAGGTCATAACCAGGGAGCTGGAAGGGAAATGGGGCGGCCAGGACATGAATCAGCCCATATCCGATGCCAGTGCTTACAGGCAGAGGAGTAGCAAGTTGAGTCATCGTGCTGGGTCCAACATGTTACGTTATTCTATCAGTAATCACTATAGTTGCTGTAGTGATCATTAAAACAGAAAATGTATAAATTCTATTTGAAAAATAATTTCCAAAATGAAGGTAGTGCTGTTAATAAAACATGTTTGCAAATCTCTTTAATGTCTGACTTTACAGAGAACAGCTAGATTATCATTTCCACTTTGACATTCAATATGTTGTTATAGGTTTTAGTAACTAACAGACTTGGGCTGGCATTGTGGTCCATGTTAAGACACTCATTTGTGTCCTTGCTGCTCTGCTTCTGATCCAGCTCCTTGAAGCAGCAGATAGCCAAAGTCACTAGGCTCTGGCACCCATGTGGGAAACCCAGAGAAAGCCTCTGGCTGCTGGCTTCAGCCTGGCACATCCCACAGCCATTTGGGAAGTGAGTCAGCAAATGGGAGATTCCTTTCCTCCCTCTCTCTGCCTTTCAAAGAAACAAAATAATTAAAAATAATAACAACTAGTGGTATATAAAGCAGACTATGCCTTGACTCATGTGCCCAGGCTATGTACACGCTATTATAGCAGCACAGCTATAATGAAAATCCAATGAAATGGTTGTAAAAGTGCTTCATAATGTTTTGCATAGAAACAGGGTTATATAAAGGCCTTCACCATCCCAATACTGCTAATACATATTCCTCCATCTTCAAAATCCAGAACAGGAGTGGGCTCCTGACTTTGTTCTGGCCCAGACCCAGCTATTATGGGCAGTTGGGAAGTAAACCAGTAGATAGAAAGTCTCTCTCTCTCTGCTTTTCAAATAATTGAAAATAAGGTGAATATTAAACCCCAGATTGCACAGAAATTTTCCCACTGGGCTGAATTTACCTTACTAAGAATGAAGATGACACCTTTAGGTCAGCGGTGTGTATGGTAAATAATGCATCCTAAACTGCAAAGCTGTTATAAAATTCAAGAGGCCATCACTTATTGTAACTCAGTAAACCATAAGGGGAGAAATTCAAAGAGTTGAGTGGTGTGAACCAACCTTCAATTTTCAAATTGTAGATATTTTCAAAATGTCGATGTTTTTCTTTTAAAGATTTATTTCTTTGAAGGGTAGAGTTGCAGACAGAGAAGTAGAGACAGAGAGATCTTCCATCTACTAGTTCATTCTTTTTTTTTTTTATTGGAAAGGTGGATATACAGAGAGGAGAGACAGAGAGGAAGATCTTCTGTCCGATGATTCACTCCCCAAGT